ACTTTCTCGTGGGGTTTTTGTTTTTTTTTGTCTTTGAAAATGTCTGGCTTCTCACTACTTCCCCATTTGTGCACCTCAACTCAATCGGGGGAGTGGGATCTGAAACCTGGGGGGCAAACACCAAACACAGCTCCTCCAGAAGACATCCACAAATAGCCAAGCTTTCGATATATTGGTGAACGTTGTGGTTTTAAATGAAGAGAAAGTGCCACGGATTGTATTAATTAAACTCAATTCAAATTAAATTAAATGTCCACACATCTTAAAAGCTGCCAAGGTTGAGAAACACTGGAGCTTCAAAATAAGGTATTTTTACAAAGAGGAAGTGCTAAATCCGAAAGGACCGTGCTGCTGCTTGATCACTTGATCTCAGAACAGAGACTTTATACCTGCTATCTTGCAGCGTGAATTCTAACTTCCTGCTCAATGTCCCAAATATAGCCAGTTTCACCAGCCCTGGGACCATAATGGAGCTAAGACTGGTCTTTAATTACTTAAATAAGATGGGTAGCCCTGTTTGCCTTGCATAAGTCCCAGAGGAAAGGATTTTAAGCTGCTTTCCTGGAAAGCTAGTGTGTCCTTTCCTATCTGCAATTGTTCAGGTCAAAAGGGAACTCCTCAAACCCAATAAATCACCAGCAGCTTGATTTAGTGGCCTTGATCTGGCAGAACGCTGCTGTTCTGCTCTCAACACGGCATACGTAAAGGAAGGATTTAAGGTGTGTGTGAGAAAGGTAATTTGTCAGGAACGTGGCTATTTGCGGATTATGCGACTGACACAACAATCATCTTACTCTTTGTGACTTTCACCGGTGAGTCACAGGCAGTGACAAACTGTTCCTCCCGTGTTCCAGATGGATGCCAAAATGTATAGATAGAACAAGCTTAAGACAGATCTGTCTTAAGAGTAAAACGGTACAAAATCCGAGGCCTTTAAGCAGCCTTAGTCAGTGGAACAGCTTTGTGGGTATTCCATCACTTGAGGTTTTCAAAAGTAGACTGGACAATCCTTTGTCTGGGAGGGTATAAGACAGGAGTAGGCAACCTTGGCTCTTTTATGAATCGTGGACTTCAACTCCCAGAATTCCTGAGCCAGCATGGCTGGCTCAGGAATTCTAGGAATTGAAGTTCACGAGTCATAAAAGAGCCAAGGTTGCCTACCCCTGGTATAAGGTCTCCTGCCTTGAGCCCTGAGGTCCCTTGCAGGCCTGTGATCCTCTATGAATCCAAGCCTTTATATTTTCTAAACTGGGGGAAATCAGTTACCAGGAGATCATTACATCGGCTTGCATTGCATGGGGATAAAGTTCTGAGTGTCTAAGAAGGTAGCCAAAGCATTCCCCGAGTGCAATTTCTAACCGCCACATTGCAGCCATAATGAAAAACACCAAGCAACCTTGTTTTATACTTAATTATCTGGCAATCGCTTCCTTCCCCCCCCCCCACCCCCAGCAACAAGGAGTTCTGTCAATGCAAGCACTTAGCGCTGTATCCTGCTCCGATTTCTCACTTTTATGCGAGGCTGAATAAATCCTTTGGCATTTTATAAGAAGAGGAGAAAGAAAGAAAGAAAGAAAGAAAAAAACACACCGCTCCATTCACTGGGACTTAATTTCCATCTAATAAACATGCTGAGGACTGCAGCCTAACACATAAAAGGAATCCTATCCAAGGCTGGGAGCGCTAAGCGAGTCTATTTGCCCAGAGTTAGTCCTGTAATTTGGCCTATTCTTTTCTTAGCTTCGGGAACAAGTTGTGCCTGGTTGGGCTTTGTCTTCTTTGTCAAGTGTTCCTGCGTTCTAATTCTATGGACCTTAACTCAGATGTCTTAACTGAGCTGAAGTAAGCCAGCTTACTTCAGCTATCTTCCTTTCGCTTGGTATAATTCCATTTTGCCCTTCAGCCAGGATGTGAAGATAGCCAGCTTTTAAATGCTTAAGCGGGGCCCTTCAGATCTCTGCAAGGTTGCCTGGATTGCTTCAAGCCTCCTAAAGTGAAATTACTCATCTGGTATGTTAGAAAATAATTTAACAGCTTTTTTTTCCCCCTCCCCACTCTCGCTGAATAAAAAGGTATAAGAAAGGAGGAGGAGGAGAAGAACGTAATTGCAAACAGTGAATCAGCTGGGAAGGATAATTAATTCAGCCATGGGGGCAAAAAAAACTCCACAACATTTACTAACCTGGTTGGGTTTTTTTTCTTTTTCTTTTTCTTCAAAAGGAAAAACAGTAACTTTCTGAGACTGGTAAGGAAAAGGGCAGGAATTCTGCAGACCACCATTTTTGACCATTGAAGAAATCTGGCTTCCGTTAGAAAATCTCCAAGTCTCTAAATCAGGAGGGGAAAAAAATGTATAATCACTCAATTGGTTTGAGGCTAATGTCTAAAACCAGGATCCATGCACATTAGAAATTTCCTTTCTGAATTGCATACCCCCCAAATCCTGTGCTATGGCAGGTTTCTGTAACCCCTGTATTTAGTGGGGTTCCCATAAACCAGGGATCTTCAAACTTGGCAACTTTAAGACTTGTGGATTTCAACTCCCAGAATTCCTCAGCCAGCCAGGGCTGGCTGAGGAATTCTGGGAATTGAAGTCCACAAGTCTTAAAGTTGCCAAGTTTGAAGACCCCTGCCATAAACTCTAGGCAGAGAGATAGGGTATCCCCAAGCAAATAGGGGATAAAATGTGAATGTGATCACAGTAAAATAGAACATGCATGCAGAAACAAATGGAACGCTCCACTGACTTTGCTTGTCTATAATTAAAGAAGATCATTAAAGAAAGATTCAGCCTATAAATAAGGATAAATTTCCTGGCAATGGGAACCATCAGCGGAACAGCTTCCAGAAGTTGTGGGGGCTCCATCCCTGGAGGTTTTCAAGAAGAGATTGGACAGCCATTTGTCCAGAATAGTGTAGGTCTCCTGCTGGAGCAGGGGGTTGGACTAGAGGACCTCCCAGACCCCTTCCAACCTATTATTCTCTTGTATTTGCAATTAATATTAGGTGGAGGAGAGACTGCAACAAAGTATATGGATATACAAATCTTTGCTGCCATCTAGTGGTTGCTATCTTCTTGCATTCAGACCTCGTAGAATAAGAAAGCTGGAAGGGAACTTGTAGGTCATCTAGTCCAACCCCCCACCCAAGCTGGTAATCCAAATCTTCCAGAACTGTTGGACTTCAATCTCCAAACTGGCACGGGCTTTTCATAAAATACCAAGCAGAAATCTTACCCCAAATTTGGAGTAGAACAGTCTCATATTTATGACGGGCGCAGTGATCCCCTTTTGAGACCTTCTGACAGGCAAAGTCAATGAGGGAGCCGGCTTCACTTAACGACCGTGTGACTCACTTAACAACTACAGCAATTCACTTAACGTCGGTGGCAAGAAAGGTCGCAAAGTGGGACAAGCTCACTTAACAAACGTCTTCCTTAGCCACAGAAACGTTGGGCTCAATGGTGGCTGTGTGTGAAAAACTGATCATAAGTCGCTCTTCTCAGGGCCGTGGTCACGTCGGTCACTAAACAAACTGTCGTGAGTCGAGGACTTCCTGCAATAGGGATGTTTACCACCCTGAGTTATGTATACAGTAATAAAGGCAGGATTAAACATGTAACCAATAAAGAATACAGTAATAAAGGCAAGATAAAGTGAAATAAATAAATATAGGAGCCCAAGGTAGCTTCCGTGGGGATTTTAGCCCCACAACGTCCCCACGGGGTCAGCATACCTGCCAGAGAGCAATACTGCACAAATTCTCTTTTTAATGACCTTTCATGGCTGAGAGGGGCCTCCCTGCCCCTAAACCAACATTTTTAGTCCCTACACCAAACTGACCCAACTGGACCATTTTTCTGTCTTCCCAGGGCCATGAAGCCCAGATAAGCAGCATTGCACAAGCCACAAACCTGCTTTTCAACTAACCAGGGTTAGCTGGTAACCCAAGTTTAAAGCCTGGCACAAGCCCAGTTCTCCCTCACTTGAGCGGGGCGGAGGAGGCCTTCTGCTTCAATCTGCCTCTTCCTTAGTTAGCAAAATCAATGTGGGAAATGGCAGCCTCCCTCAGGCAGCCATTTTTTTACAGGCCCCAAATCAATAAACACTTCAAACACTGAAATAAATAAAAGTTGGGCAGGCAGAGGACAAGCGCACATTTCTGCAGCATCGGTGAAACTTCGCCACCTTGTCTGCTCTTAAATTTCCTTTTTAAATTTATTTTATTCACATTGATAAACGTCGGACCTCCTCAGCCTCGCGTAGGCCTTCAAATGGCGGGAGATTTTCAGGTTGCCATGGCAAGGAAGCGAACGCGCGAGTGCGCAGGCGCGCGGTGGTCGCCATGGCGGCCAAGCTACGAAGGGAATCGTTTCGCCAGTTACGCCGAAGAGGGCGTACTTTTCGCGACGGCGACGGCTGCGCGTTCCGATTACGTCACCGAGCACCTTAGATTTACGAAATCTATAGAATAAAACAGTTTATATAATCATTTCCGAGTTCACTCAAGGAAATTTCTTTGGTTACCAAAGTAGAGTTTTCGCGCTGGGATTAATATACTGGTCAGTAAATGAGGAAAATTATATGTAACCTAAAGCTTCTAGAGGGCAATTGTTGAAAGCGGTTGAACGCGAGATCCAATTTTTCGAATTTAGCGGGCATCTTTCGGAATGTATCTATCTATGGGGTCGGGAAAAGTCGATACCGACTTGATGGGAGATAATCAGTCAATTAATTTCCGTATAAGCAGGCATATAATTGATCTGCCCTAGAAGGACGCTAAAAACGTCGTTCTTTACTCGTGGAATTAAAATTGACCTAATCCCGGAAGTTATGTCTCTGAGCATCACTCTAAATTTCGTAACTCTACAAAGGAAAAAAACGCTTTCCCGCTCGCGTTCTGATGACGTAAGCGCCGCGCCGCGTCGAAAGGCAATGACGTCTGAATTGGGCGACGATGACAGAAGCGAAGGAGATCTCCGAGGTTTTCGGCTGCTTTTTCTTCTTCCGCGATGCCGCCGGCCGTGGAAGCCGGGCCGGCTCGCCTGGTCCGCTCGGCCCAGAAGGACGAGCTCTACCGGGGAGCGCTGAAGAACCGGGCCGGCGCCGTCTTGTCTGGCCTGGCGGGTGAGGCGCCTCCGCCTTCTCTCCTCCCCGGAGCCGTTTCTCAACCTTTGGTCTTAAATTGGAGCTTCGGTTTAAATAAATACATATTTATATGTATAATAATAATAATAATATGTATAATAATAATAAATACATATTTATATGTATAATAATAATAATAACAATAATATTGGAAGGGACCTTGGAGGTCATCTAGTCCAACCCCCTGCTCAGGAAGGAAATCCTATCTAGCCTGAGGCTTTAATCCTTTAGACCAGGGGGTCTTCAAACTTGGCCCTTTGATGACTTGTGGACTTCAACTCCCAGAATTCCTCAGCCAGCGTGCTTTAAATCAAACTGGCTCCGTCTTTTTTTTTACTTATTATTTACCTGTTATTCAATGTACAAAAAGTGGTACAACCGGCATCATCCCTGCACCGCTATGCTTAATTATACTTTTGTTTTTCCCCCCTGAAAGGATGGTGGTGGTATTTTTGATGATAAAAATACGCTCCCTGACTCCCCTTCAAATGTTAGATAAAAATTGAACAGCGTTGATTTCCCTGGTGATGTAATTCTACATTTTGGCTCCTTAGGTGCTAAAATCTGGCTAGAATGGCAGAAAGAGATGGAGCTCCTGGCTGACATTGCCTATTTCACCCTTACTACCCTGTCAGGTAATGATTCTGTCTGAATTGAAAGCTAAAGACACCCAATTCCTTCCTTCTCTTGTCCCTCGGTGGCATTTAGATCTGGCCCCGCTTGCGTTTGTAAGCCGGGGACTTTCCTGCGGTGCTTCTGTCGATCTAACCTAAAACTGGGTTTATAGTCCTGTCTTCGGGGTTTCCATTGTACATTGCTTTTTTTTTTTTTCCTCCCCCCTTCAGGTTATCAAACTCTTGGTGAAGAATATGTCAACGTTATCCAAGTAGACCCCTCTAAGGGGAAGGTCCCTTCGCTGAGACGCCGGGCCCTTCTGATTGCTCTGCACACCGTCTTGCCTTACTTGTTAGACAAGGGACTAGTCCTGCTTGAGCAGGAGCTTGAGGCAGCCTCCAACGGATCACAGACTCTGCACACCCGAAATTTAAGTGGATTGCAAAGCCGGGCGTTACTCCGAAGCTGGTTGCGGAAACAAGTCAGGCGATTAAGCGAGTGGCAGAGAACGTTTCTTGCTCGGGCTGTTCAAATCGTCAAGCCAAGCCTCCCGTTTCTCCGTAGATTGCACTTAGCTGTTTTTTATATGAACGGCATCTTCTACCATTTATCTAAAAGGACAACAGGGATCACATACGTGAGTGGTTCCCTATGCTTCTGTTTCTAAATTGGGCACCATCACCAACGTATAGAAGGGTGCCTAGCCAACTTAAATCAATGGCACCGTCATTTTTTTTTGCTTGGAATGTTTCTTAAAAGGCAAAAATGGGAACGGTACATATTCCAATGCTTAAGTATGTAATTTGCTTTGTTTTTCACTGGAAAAGCTCCTAAATCACTAAATGAAGTTTGCATCCTCCCGGCATAAAAATGATCGAGGTATGATTTGAACCAGGGAGCCAGTTTAGTGGTTAAGGCTAAACTATGGAGACTCTGAATTCTAGTCCCGCTTTACAAATAAAAGCAAGCTGGGTGATTTTGGGTTAAATCTCTCTCAGCCCAAATCACCTCAGAGTTGTCATTGTGGGGAATGGAGGAATATTATGTACGTTTGTTGCCTTGACTGGCTTATAAAATAATGAATTAAAAATCAAATAAAGAATTTCCTTGATTGGGAGATATTCTACGAGGTGAAAGCTAACGCCTCAAAGCATTAATCTATTTGCAGGCAGCTCATGATTTTGAAAAGAATACTCTATTCTCATAAACGAAACATTTGAACAGAGCTACTTCTGTGGCAAAATCTTCTTAATTTACCTTCAGTTGATGGTTTTGCTCGATTCTTCTGTTCCCCCAGTTACGCTCTGTTGGATTCCCCGCAGATGACCACAGCATTCGGTCGAGTTACAAGCTGCTTGGAATCGTTTCCTTCCTGCATCTGGGGCTGACCCTTGGCCTCTACGCGTACAACCTCCGACATCGGCAGAGGGCAAGAAAAGAATGGAAGCTACTCCGCAACCTCTCCTGTCAGACGTACGAAGTCGGGATTTTATTTTATTGAAAGGGAAAGAGAATTGATATCCATCTTAGTAGCTTTTGAAATTCAGCTTTCAATTTTCACAGTTGGGAGTTAGGGGGCATTAAGAAAGTTAAAAATGGCTAAAACGACACCCCAGAAATACAGGTCGGTGGGTATTGTACTTTAAAATGTATTATTCTAAAGGGCTTTTATTGTGGTGCAGAACCTGGACTTTCGGCCTATGGGATAATGAGTTTTAAAGCAGTCAGAATACACGACCAAAGCACATCATGTTGTAGGAACAGAAATAAAGTAGATTAAAGACATGGCAGTTCCCTAAAACTTTCCTTATTTCTTACACCCCTCAATCTCTTTTGGAATCTCTTTTCTCACCGTAGAAGAATTAACTCTGTCTAACGTCACTTCCTTCAGAAGCCAACCCAAAGAGAAAATTCCTGGCCGCAGTGCGCGTTGCACACTCTGCTTAGGAGAGCGCCGGCATGCCACAGCCACACCGTGTGGGCACCTCTTCTGCTGGGAATGCATCGCTGCCTGGTGCAACACCAAGGTGTGGGTTGACGCCCTCAAACTTTGCCCAGAAGCATTACGACTTTTTTTTCTTAAAACGGTTGCAAATTTCTACCGCACGTAACTGAGCCTCAAATTTATGTCGCGAAGAGAAACATTTGTGAAGTGAGCTTGGCCCCATTTTACGGCCAGTCTTGCCACCGTTAAGCGGTTAAATTAATAACACGGCTATTAAAACGAATCTGGTTTCTCCACTGACTTTGTTTGTCAGGAGGTCACAGAAGGGGTTCACAAGACCCCGGGGGCACTGCGACCGTCATAAATATGAATCAGTTGCCAAGTGTCTGAATTTTGATCACGTGACCACGGGATGCAGCAACGGTTGTTAAGTGTGGGAAAACGGTTATAAGTCAGTGCCGTTGTAACTTTGAACAGTCGCTAAACAAGCTATTTTAAGTCAAGGACTACCTGTATATACAGGCATTAGGATTCTGCTTTTTCCTTGGGGTTTGTTTTTTTTTTACATGCAGTTTTGATCCCCCAAATCTATAACTAAAAATTGCAAAATTTTATCTGTAGTTCTAAAGAGCCATTGCTACTGAGCTGTAAGACCCAGTTTTATAATTTATTACGCTTGAAACCGAGAGCTACACCGATTTATATGTTAAATCATGTGGGGGGAAAAGTGAATTCTTTTATGCAGGGTGGCTGCCTTAAAAACGGGGATGGTTTTTAAAGCAATTTGAAGGGTTTACGTTTCCTAACACTATTTTTTTTTTCCCCCTTCCCGCAGGCTGAGTGTCCTCTGTGTAGAGAGAAATTTCAGCCCCAAAAACTTATTTACCTTCGACACTTCCGGTAAATGGAATTGCGAACTGCCACCAGTCAACGCAAACGCAAGCTTCGAACGAGTGCGGGATTTTATTTTGATATTAAATTGTTGCGATCTAAATGGAAGCCCAGACATTTGACTTTCACTGCCCCTCTGCAAGACGATATAAAACTATCCATTTAAAACACCAACGGCGGGAAGCTGATCCATTTTTTATCTGGGAGATTTGAGGTCAGGAAGAAGGGCCATCTTTACCCATCCAAGTGAATTCTGAATTCTGCAATTTTGTTTTAAGCACACTTTCAGGATCAAATGTGCTGAGCATATACCCAGCTGGTATAATCAACTTAAGATCCATTGTGTGTTTTGGTCTGGTTAGTTTCAATAGCATTCCAAGAACTTTTTCAAGACCCCATTTCTAAATTGGGGGTAGGGGCATTGGCATTTATATCTTGTAATCAAGCTGGGGAAAAAAGACCATTTTAAAAGGAAACAGAATTTCCTATCCCACGAAGAGCCCACAATTCCTCCCTTTAGATGATGATGATGATGATGATGATGATGATGATAATAATAATAATAATAATAATAATAATAATAATAATGCTGTAAAAGAGAAATGGACTTACACGGCACAGCATTATTTGAGTATGTTAAGACGTAAATATTTACTTCGGGGGTTGCTACTCAATAGCTAATTTATCTTTCGAGATAATATTTGTACAATAGTGCAAAGGGCTGTTTTTATTGAGACAGCTAAAATACAATATTCCACAAGATTAAATTATACGCATTTAAGAAAGCAGGGCGGAGAGAAAACTTTCAAACCATGAATACATAGCTCTTTACAGTTTGTTTTAGAAAGACGGCTGGGCCCAAGAACGGGACGAGGTCTTTTTTTTTTTAAATAAAGTTTGGAATTTAAAAAGTCACTTAATAAAATGGCTCGTAGCTATATCACATCAAAGATGTCTTACATGCAGGTTGTGTTAAGATTTCTCTCCATAGAAAATTAAAAGCTTGGGTGAAAACCCCATAAAGTCCAATCTATTTGCATCTTGGAAAGGGCTATGAAGCAAATTTTACCAAAAAAAAAAAAAAAAGTTATCAAAGAAGCAAATTTTACCAAAAAAAAAGTTATCAAAGAAACGTGTTAAAATACTCTTTAGCTGATATTTTATAGATATACACATGTAATTCTACTTCCAGGCTTTTTCCAAAATTGAAAAAAAAAATATCATGGCCGTTCATACGGAATAATTACAAAACAGCTGATGACTAAACAAAACCCCTTTGGGGGGGGAACTACTAAGCCCATCTTCCACCTCTTCACTCTAAAAGTCTGATTCCTTCAGTCAGTGAAGACAAGTTTAATTCAAAATGCCCCAAGTTTAAGTTAAACTAGTACAGGGGTATTGATTGCTCTCCAGCTCAATCCAAAGTTTGAATGTCTTTATCGTTGTGTCCCAGGCTCCTGTGACAATTCTCTCATTTCAGCAAGGTATACAGTGTGCAGACTGGGTTGGAGAATTAATATAAAATAAAATAAACCGATATTCTTCCTTTCCATGCTAGCTGTCGGCCTCCCAAAGAAATTTCAGCTTCTAATTCCCTACCTGTTTTGTTCTGCATGCACAACCACACATCTGGAATACACGCGCAGGAGGCCCTTTGAAAAGTTTGGGAAGTCACCAAGCCACATTTGCAAAGCCAAGAACCCAGTGCCTTCGGATCCCAGAGAGAGAGACACACACACACACACGTACCTAGGTGTAAACATGTGACAACTGCCCAAGGGGAGGGGAAAAGAGACCCCGGGACGGATAAAATAGCTTGTTCCCCCAGAGCAACAATTTCAGAAGAGGCAAGTTAAAAGGCAGAATTCTCCTGGTGTTAGGAATCAGACACACACACACACACACCACCCCTCTTCCAATCAGCTGAAGAGACAGAAAATGAATCTTCTGAATCACCGCCCTCATTATTGACTGATTATGAAGAACAGAGGCATCATTACAATGGCTCAAAACCGGTCTTTTTAATTATAACGCAGGAAAAAGGTTGGTCAGCAGATTTCAGGGTTTCTAGCTAGCAAAAGTCTTCCCTGCCTCTTCTTTCCCTTTATATCGCCTCTTGCCGTGGGTGAAGGGTATATATCGGTATTTTATCATATGCTGGAACGAAAAACACATGTCTTTAAGACGACGCCTCCCCCCTTTTTCCCCCCGTCTCTTCCCCATCTTCCCAAAATGCAAGAAACGCCTCCAAGGGCCGATCTAGTTAGACAAACAAGGGTTCCCCTTCACACAGGACGTTAAGCTATGGTTTTCTGAGCAGGATGCACTGGGTGAGGGTCATAAATTAAGCCACAATTGTTTGGCTTTAAGTGCTCTATGGACACGGGCAAATGAGGCTGGCCCGACAGATCAGGATTGAACAATCTGCTAATTGGATGAACATTGGCAGAGTGTGAAGAAGCAGCTCCAAACAAGCTACCTTTTCATGATCAAGGTTATCTCCCGTCACCTTTTTGGCAATGGGCGTAGCCAGCTACATCTGCTCGGCATGAAGGCATTTTGAAATTCTGTTACTTTGATATAACCAGTGTCTGGCTACCTTCACACATGCCTTCAATTGCACTGGTCTAGCATGCCTTACCTGGTTGGTTGTATTTATTTTGCTACCCAGGGCTATGCCGGCCCCCCAAATGGGAGAATTCAATGACCAAATCTCAGGTTGCCTGGGATTGCAGGCAATCTCTCCCCCCCCCACCACTTATTTCAGGGTCTAAAGTAGAGGTCTTCAAACTTGGCACGCCGGCTGAGGAATTCTGGGAGTTGAAGTCCACAAGTCACCAAAGGGCCAAGTTTGAAGACCCCTGCTCTGAAGTGTCCAACCTTGGCAACTTTTAAGACTTGTAGATTTCAACTCCCAGAATTCTCCAGCCAGCCTGATTGGCTAGGGACTTGTGGGAGTTGAGGTCCACCAGTCCTAAAAGTTGCCAAGGTTGGGCCCGCTGGTCCAAAGCCTTCCGCACTCACCTTGATTTGCCTCTTCATCGTGATGCAGAAGAGCATAATGAAGTACATCACCAGAATTGGCCAAAAAACTGGAACGTTGAAAGCCTCAAAGAATGTACAGGTCATGGCAACCAGGATCCCTTTCGTGGCAGAATGCCTTTGAGGAAGAAAGCGAACCGGGGTTAGCGGGCAGGGACGATCGCGCTCCAGCTCCCCGCCTTGGCAGGATGGAGAGAAAAACCCCGCTCTGCGGGAACGCCGGAAGGGCAAAGACGAGAAGGGAGCCCCAGATTATCCGCGTCCACTCACCAAAACTTGAATTCTGGCAGCCTCCGAATAAAAGGCCGGAATTCTTCATTCTGTTTTGTCGGTAATGAAGGCCCTTCGTCTAAAAAGAAGAAGAAAATGTAATTATTTGCAAAGTTGGGAGTTGTTAAAAATCTCAGGCAGATGTTGGTGGTCCGTTCAGGAGCTGAGTTTTTATTGCTTCTGTTGCAAAGTAGGCTCCACAGAGGATCCCATTTCACTTCTAAATGACGATGCTCTGCCAAGCGTACAGGCAGTCCTTGACTTACGACAACTGAGCCCCCGTATTTGTTGTGAAGCGAAACATTTGTTAAAGTGAGTTTTGCCCCATTCTACAAGCTTCCTCCCCACACCGAGGGGACGCTGCGACCGTCATAAATACGAGTCAGTTGCCCGGCGTCTGAATTAAAGTGTCTGAATTCCGATCACGTGACCTTGGGGGCGCGGCCACGGTCGTTAAGCGTGGAAAACGGCCACAACTCCCTTTTTTTCAATGCCGTTGCAACTGAACAAATGGGTGTAAGTCAAGGATTACCTGTATATTCACTCCTAAACTATGGAACTAGGGTTTATAGAATCAAGCTCAGATTGCTGTGATTATACAGGACACTAAACCATAAACCAGGGTTAAAAAATCCAAGCACCAGAGACTAAACTCAATGTCAAAAAAAATATTTAAAAAATCACTTTGTGGCTCAGACGAGGCGTAGACCCCAACCTACACCGTCAAGGGACAAGTGAGACTTCCAAATTTAATCCAATCAATCTGTAAAGATTGACAGCGTCCATAGAAAATTCAAACAAACCCATTTTTTCCCAAAATTCCAACTTTATATACCTGAATCTTCCATGAGCGAGGGATCGACCTTTGGCGACAAGAAAGCTATGAAGAGGTTTAGGTGGTAGATACCCAAGGCGTACGTCACAATATACCAACCCTGGGAAGGAGAAGACAGAATTTATAAGCCAGGAGGTCAGAGGGGAACTTAAGTTTCAAGAACAGAAGCTACTGTTCTGGAGAGTCCATAATTAGCAATGCACAAGGGTTAAATCCGAAGCCAGGATTGGCCCTACAAGCAGCGTGGTTGGTAACAAGAGATTGCAGGAGCCATACTCCAATCAATAGGGTTAGGGTTTCTCAGCCTTGGCGACATGAAGAGGTGGGTGGACTTCAAGTCCCAGAATTCCTCAGCCAAGGATGAGGACAAAGTAAGGTAAGAATAAATGGCATATGAAAAATGGGTGTGATTTACAAACCCATCTCCACGTCAGGGCTATTTTTACAAGCAGAAGCATCTGCCGAGTAAATTCTCCATAGAAAGATTAAATTAAATTAAATTCTTTGAGTAGCCCATAGCTATTTCCCCCCGCTTTAAATAGGTTTTTTTGGGCTTGGAGGCAAGATCCAAAGATTGAAGCTAAAAACACGGGCAGAGAAATACGTCTTTTAACCGGCTAAAATAAAATAAACATTAACGGGCTAACGAACTACTGTCAGGAATTAGCAACCTGTTGAACGGTCTCTGATTCCTGACGGGGGTTCCAGATGAAGGCAGAGAGTTCAGTTTTTCTTACCTGCAGTAAATAAACTCTAATCATGTAGATAAAACTTAAACCCAATGTTGCCACCCATCGGATTGTTGTATATGGAGTAGATTTGTCTAGCCAGGACTGGTAAATCTAGGGAGGGAAACACAGATTGTTCAGCACGTTAACCGATTAGTAGAAAACTGCAAGCCTTACAGCTCCTACAACTGGGACTAACCATGGTTTGTGGAGGACAGGTCGTCCTCAACTTACAACAGCCCGTTTAGCGGCTGTTTAAAGTTACAACTGCATTGAAAAAAGCGACTTAACGGCCGGTCCTTTTTACTTAATAACCGTAACGGCGTTCCCACATGCACGCAACTTAAAATTCGGACCCTTTGGCAACCCGTGTGCGCTCAGGACAGTTGCGGTGTCCCGGGGTCAAGTGACCACCGTTTTATGACTTTCCGACGAGCAAGTCAGTTGGGGAAACCAGATTGGCTTAGCAACGGCATGATTCGTGGTTAACAACTTCAGCGATTTGCTTCACCCACAAACCCACACACACAAAAAAAAGAGTTTACAAAATCGGGCCGCAACTCATTTAACGACTGGAAATTCTGCTCCCAAATTATGTTTTCTCTTTCTGCTTTAATTCGACCGGATACAATACCAATTTAATCACTCGGGGATGTTTAGGGATCTGTTTGCCCCCGGGGGGGAAACTCACCTGTCCCAGTCTTGTGAAAAATCTATAGACCACGGAAGGTTTACCATGGATGGACTCGCCGCTACTGTCCCCTTCTGACATTGTTGCTGTGGGGGAGGGAGAAACAAAAAAAGCAAGAATTCAGCACATCACATTTTGCAATACAAAATTCTAGAAATGCCCGTCACTCGACGCGACAGGCAGGCAATCCTCCACTTACGACAATTCATTTAGTGACCGTTTGAAGTTACAACAGCCGTGGAAACAGTGACTTAGTTACGGCCATTTTTTAAAAAAATTGACAAGCACCGCAGCATCTGCGCGGTCACGCTATCAAAATTCAGACGCTTGGCCACCGACTCCTATTTACGACGGCTGCCGTGTCCCCGGGGTGTGTGTGTGTGTGTGACGTGATCCCCTTTGGCGACCGCCCGACAAGCCGAGTCAAAGCTGAAGCCGGACTCGCTTAACGACCGGGTGACTAACGTTTAACAAACGCAGCGATTCGCTTATCAACCGTGGCAAGGGCGGTCGTGACGCGGGAGAAAACCCGCTTCGCCAGGGTCTCGCTTAGCGACGGAAACGTCGGGCTTGATTGCGGTCGTGCGCCGAGGATTACCTAAGCTTCCCTGCTTTGTTGTTGTGTAATCGGTGTGTGGGTCGATTCAGGGGAAGGAAAAGTGCTGCGGGATTGATTGGGTGTGTGATTTGAAAACCGATCAATCGCACGCAATTCGCACTGGGCTTCGGGGACCAGAGAAAACACTCAACTTAGTGCACCATATTCTTTTGCCGGCTATATTTCACTCAGGGGTGTGTTTTGTGAGATTTGAAACACAATAGGCTTTGAAGCAAAGTTCCCCTTTTCATTCAAAAGCAGGGGAAACTTGATCTCACACCTCTCCTGGGCCTTCCTCTTCTCTTACAAATAAACATGACCACAAATAAACATTAAGACTGAAATGATTTCTGCAATTACTCTTTGGTTTTAAGCTGCCTTTCTCTTTAAGCCCACTCAGGGAATCACTGGAGCTGCTGTGCCACATCAGCGAAAGCGTGACACAACTTCCTGGTACGTCATGCTTGGAGGGCGGAGAAAATGGGGAATTAGTTTTCCAGGAACAGGAAAGCAAAAAAAAAGAGATTTCGCTAGCACCCAGTCTGTGAAAAGCTGCATACGAGGAAAATAGGATTGGGAAATAAATCAGAGGGGGGAAAAAACAACAACTTTGGCACGCAATTTGGAATCTGCTGGAAGATCAACAAGGATATTAATGGTATTAGCCTAGGAATTAGATTTAGAAATGATAGATTTTCAGTGAAGGTGAACTGACATCCGAGGAAAGAGAGCAAGCTTTATGATTATTAAACAACCCCAAACGAATTCCCACGCCAGCCATCAAGTGAGAATATTCTCCTAAGAACAGCAATGAGGAATTAAAACACAGCAAAAAGGAAAGAATTCCAAAACGATAAACCACATCAATCTAACCGGAAGTTGAATATAAAAAATCTCGGCTTGAAATCCAGTTAAACAACAAAGCCTAAAGGCACACATCATTCCAAATTAACTGTGGCTCTTGGTCCATCAACCATCAAGTATCACTCAGTACGCTCAACAAACCGTGTTTGCAAACCAGAATAGCTGGGTTCATACGTGGTAAAGCGAAGTTAAACCAATGGCACAACGGGAAAGCACTAAGGGTGAGAATAAAACATGGATGCGATTTGTTAGCCCGGGACGATGTTAGGTTTTAAGTCAACCCTGGATGTTACTTTGGGAAAACGCAACCACTGTCAAATTCCAGTGTGACATCTAAGGCAGGTAGGAAGGAAACTAAACTCACTCTACACAAATTTCTGTACACTTAATAGTTCCACTTTTAAAGCAAACTAAACGGGCCACAACAGGGGTAGCTTTCAAGGAAGCTGTCGCGCAAAGCTGGCCCTTGGTAAGAGTCCACACGTGGTTCACTTATATGGCAAAAGTGTCCACTCTTGGCAACTTACGGACTTCAATTCCATTCGCTTCCTGGCTGGCTGGGGAATTCTGGGAGTTGAAGTCTGCAGGTCTTAAATGTGCCAAGATTGGCCATCCCTTAGTCTTCACATATTGCCCTTTCCAGTCCAAGGCAAATCTAACTCTCCTTATTAATTTGGAGGCAGGGATTAACCGCGTTCCAGTTTCGCTTTCCTTTAACTCTCTAAAGCATCTATAAGAACTGCGTTTATTATAAATGTGCCAAGATTTTTTTCCCCTATCAGGTGCCTCAAGAAAAGCAAGCTGCAAAAAATTGTAAGCCCCTGAACATACCAATTCTACAAAATCGAGGCTAGAATTACAAGTCTCTAACAGAATAACAGAGTCGGAAGGAACCTCAGAGGTCTTCTAGTCCAACCCCCTGCTCAAGCAGGAAACCCTATGCCATTGCAGACTTCTTTAAGACTTCTTTAAGTCTTCTTAAGACTTCCAGTGATGGAGCACTTACAATTTCTGTAGGCAACTTCTCAAGAAAAGCCGAGCAAAGTGTAAAGCAGAGGGACCCAAATCATAATTTGCAAACATCTTAGCAAAAATAATAATAATAAAGATTCGGCTTGGCCCAGAGTTTCAGCTCGAGTTCACACACTAGACTAAGCGGTTATTTGAAGTTTATGAATGCCAGTGGCTGCATTCTCACCTAAAGTGGATTCAGAAAATCTTAATTAGGGCTTACATGAACACAGACTCCTAAGGGGAGGAAAGCAGAAAGCATGACTATCTACCAGGCGCACCTCAAAAGAAAAATTCAGGGGAAAAAAACTTCACAGGGTGTAAACTAAAGAAATGTCTCCTGGCTAATGTTTGTCATTCATACCATTCAGCTACTTGATTAAAGAAGATAATTTTAAAAAAAAATGACCCCCAAGGTCAGCCATTTCCGAATTTCTTCCATGGAACCAATGGCATCCACTGCCGGTAAAATGGGGATTTTCTCAAGAAACTTGTTATCACACACAACTAGGCTGGAGATGAACACACTGCAGAGGTTTCAGTAGCAGCCAGGGCACCTAATGGTTTATCTCACTCCTTTGAAACCACTAATGTTGGCTGGGTTCCCCCCCTTGGGCTATAAGCCACGACTGATGGAAAAGGCACCACTGGGTGACCTAAAACTTCAGAGCTGGTTTCATGGGCCAGAGGAGATGGTGTGAATGGGCGTATCTTGAATTAAAAGGATGATAAGAAGAGAGAGAGAAATCTGTCCCATTTTAGCTAGCTTTGGAACGGGATAATGACAAGTCTCCAGTCTCCCCATTAGAAACTTAAAGGTGGATCTGGGTGCAAATCTTCACGCCTTTGTAAAGCTCACTGGGTGAGGTTGGGCTAGCTGTTCTCTCTCAGCCTGACCTACCTCACAAGGGCGTTGTAGGATAAAATGGGGGACATGCCTCCCCCCCAATAGATCACCTAGAAGTCTAGGGTAAAAATAAGTTACACGTCTTATATTACAGGTAGTCCTCGACTTATGATCTCAATTAAGCCCAAACTTTCTGTTCCGTTGCTAAGTGAGACATTTGTTAAGCGAGTTTTGCCCCATTTTACAATCTTTCTTCCCTCCGTTGTTAAGTGAATCCCTGCACTGGTTCAGTTAGCCAAACGCGTGTTAAGTGAATCCGGCTTCTGCATCGCCTTAGCTTGTCAGACGGTCGCAAAAAGTGAATCGCACGATCCCGGGGCCGTTGCGACCGTCGTTAAGTGCAAGTCAGCGGGCAAGCATCTGGGGATGCTGCAACGGTCATAAGTCTGAAACACGGTCCTAAGTCACTTTTTTTTTTTAATGATGCTGTAACTTTGGACGGTCACTAAATGGACTGTTGTAAGTCGAGGACCGTCCTAAGTCACTTTTTTTTTTAAATGATGCTGTAACTTTGGACGGTCACTAAATGGACTGTTGTAAGTCGAGGACCACCATGACTAGTCAGGTAACTAATTCAAACCCAGAACTCAAGAGTACATTTCACACATTTCACACACACAAACACACACACACACCCGCGTCCTCCAGTTCTGGACTACAGCTCCCGCCGTTGTCCTGGCTGGGGATGATGGACGTCAGAGTCCCAAGAGATCTGATGGAAGCAGCCCCTCCCTGCTCCCCCAAAAGGAGGACGCAGAGCCACCCCCTCCCCCAAATGGCGGGCCCTCATTTGGGGAAACTGAGGAAGAGGCCCAGCGGGGCCCCCCCTCCTCACACCCAGTAATTCAAGTTGGGGGGGTCCTCCCAGGCGCCTCCTCCCCGTGTCTCCCCCGCCCTGGGAGGCCCGGTTGCCAAGGCAACGGCTAGGCCGCGGCCTGCCCGGGCCCGGGGGTAACTCACCAGGCCGCGCCGGGTGTCCCCTCCTTCCGCTTCCCGCCCCGCCTGACCAGGCAGAGGAGCCGCCGCCGCCACCGACTCCTCCTCCTCCTCCACCTTCCGAGATGGCGGAACCGCGCGGCCGGCGGCAGAGCTTCCGCTACCGGGGCGAGGAAGAAGGCGGGAGGGACGAAGGCCAAGCAGCCGGGAAGCCTCACCACCCCTCGGGGGAAAGAGGCCTGCTGCTTTGGACGAAGCCTGGCCTCGGCTGGAAGGCCCTCACGCTCGGGGGACTGCAACTCCCAGAAGGCCTCAGTTCCGCCAGCCGAGGGCGCCGCAAAGGTGGGGGGAACTACAGCTCCCAGAAGGCCTCAGGCAGCCAAGGCGCTCGAGGCATGCTGGGAGCGGTAGTTCCCCCGCCTGCTTCCTGGAGAGGTGAATTGAATTGGGCGCTGCTATTTGGATTCCAGACCTTTGGTCCCGCTGGCACCAGGGTGGGGCAGGGTAACCCCCGCCCGGCCTTCCTGCTGCGGCTTAGGGGACATGTAGTCCCGGCTTGAGAGCAGCAGATTGTCTTGACAGACAGAACAAGGGGTTTATTGATTGATTGATTGATTGATTGATTGTAGCTCTATTCTGATTGATTGATTGATTGATTGAAATGGTCTAGGGTCTCCTGCTTGAGCAGGGGGCTGGACTAGAAGACCTCCAAGGTCCCTTCCAGCTCTATTCTGATTGATTGATTGATTGAAATGGTCTAGGGTCTCCTGCTTGAGCAGGGGGGTGGACTAGAAGACCTCCAAGGTCCCTTCCAGCTCTATTCAGGATCGAGGAGATCCAGGTTCGTGTGCCCTCTCCGGCAGGGATGCTCTCTGGACCTCCCTCTCCACCCGGCCTACATCTCAGGGCTGTTGTGTGGATAAAGCAGCTCTGCACAAACGCACATTTAAAAAGCTGCCCTCCGGTGGCGAATTTGGGAACTGCAGACTCTGGTAAAAAATAAGGCTGGGAAATAAATGCTCATTTTGGCACTGCAGCTTGTATATTATACACAAACACATAGTATGTAATTCTAGTGGTGAATGTAGGGACAGTGTATATGGGGAGAAGTGCCTAAATTCTAATGGTTAACTTGATTACTCTTAAGAAAGAACAACAGAAGGCATATTATACGTATGCATGTCAATGCCAAAGGATTCCAATTTGACAACATTAATATTAAAAGCTAATGGCGCTTTTTGGATGTAGATATAAGGTCCTTCTAAAAATGGACCCATCTCTGCCTTTTCAGTTTTGCACACTTTTATCTTGCGAGCCGGTAAAGTATAAAAGAATCCAGATTCCTTCAGCTTTTTAAAATCTCTATTTGATTTTTTTTTTTTTTTTTGGCCATGTAATTGGCTAGTTTAAATGTAAGCTAAAATATAGATTATATAGATTTTAAAAAAAGCTTTTCAGGACATTTCAATACAAGCATCTCACACACTCACACACATACACTCACACACAAAAAAAAAAACCCTGGGGAGGGAGGGAGGGAGGGGAAAAAAGAGGAAAATCAAACCTTTTTTGCCATCACAAATATTGCATTAAATTCAAGAAGCACAGACACGCCCGCACGCACGTGGAGTGAGTGATAGCTGCTTTCTTTTTCAGTCACAAAAGCACAATATAAATACAGAGGTGTGTGTGCGCGCGCGTGTGAGAGAGAGAGAACTCATTTTTTCTTCCCTGTGGTAATAAAAATACATTCTTTACAATTAAAATTGTAACTAGTGCAAGTCCTTTTCCAGCCGCTGCTGCTGAAGCTCACCCCCTCCAGCTCCCTCTTGGGGATCATCAGGAGGGTTTGAGGGGAACTTCGTACTTGAAGATCACGCTGAAGATCTTCCCACCCAGTCGATCGGCCAGCCAAGAATTTTTGAGCACGGCCAGCTTCAGGCTCTCACACCTGAGCTTGGCGTGGTAGTTGGTGTGGATAGCCCGGCCCATCCCTTCGATGATCACCAGGTCGGTCTTCCGCTCTCGGACCAAGTTAGCCAGGCCCTTGTCCAGACGGCTGTGAAAATCGAGAGGATGAGGATTAAATTACGGCCGTTGGCTCATCTGTGGTTTAATGGATCGGGATCCATTAAGAGATCCCTTAAATAAAGACCTCGCTCCCACCAGTGATAGCTGCCCTTGGTTCATTTTAAACCCTTGATTTTAAACCCGCCTGGAATTGGGGATGTCTAATTTAATGAAGAAAAGGACAAGGGGGGGACATATAATAATAATAAAGTTGGAAGGGACCTTGGAGGTCATCTAGTCCAACCCCGTTCAGGCAGGAAACCCATTTCAGACAAATGGCTGCCCTTAAAAACTTCCAGTGTTGGAGCATTCACCACTTCTGGAGGCAGGTTGTTCCACTGGTTAATTGTTCTAACTGTCAGGAAGTTTCTCTTAGTTCTAGGTTGATAGCAGTGTTCCAATATCTCAGGGGCTGCCACAAAAAAGAGGGGTGGTGGTCAACCTATTATCCAAAGCCCCCAAAGAAGGCAGGACAAGAAGCAATGGATGGAAGCTAATCAAGGAGAGAAGCAACCTGGAACTAAGGAGAAACTTCCTGACAGTTGGAAAAATTAACCAGTGCAACTCCTTGGCTCCAGAAGTGTTGAATGCTCCAACACTGGAGGTTTTTAAGAAGAGACTGGACAGCCCTTTGTCTGAAATGGTATAGGGTTTTCTGCCTGAGCAGGGGGTTGGACTAGATGACCTCCAAGCTCCCTTCCAGCTTTATTATTATTATTATTACCTATTTTATAATGATATAGCTTAGTAGGTGGGTACAGCCCTGTAAAAGTAGGCAGCATCAGCACCGCTACCCCCTATAAGGTTCTTTTTAAAGGTTTTATAATAAACAACTGCAAATTGAAGAAGCTGGAGTTGCCAATTTATCGAATACGACTTCGTAGGATCTTTGAAAAAAGGAGATTGACAGAGCAGGGTTGGCAGGCTTTTGAGCTTCTGGGCTCTGGGTCTGTTCAGTCGTTTCCAAACAATGCAGAAGGCCTCAGTTGCGTCCGTGCCAAAGGATGGGTTTTTCGCACTTGGCTCATTTTAAATGCGCTTTTAATGGGCAAAGAAGAGCCAGCCGTGCCCTCTGGCGACTTAATTTGGAGGCAGGCACTTACAGAAGGAAAGGTGGAGGGATTGGGGGCAAAAAAACCCCAAAAGGCTGCAGTTATAGCTAAACCAAGATAACAACGTATTGTTTTCAAATTTCTTTGTCAAATGAACCAGATAATTTCTCTTGGGAAAGGCATCACGTTAGGAGGGGGAAGAGGCCACAAGCGCCTGCCAGGAAAAAATTCAAATCCCAGAATTCCCTAGCCAGCAAAGCCGCAGTAAGGAATTCGGGGGCCGAGTTTACTTTCAGGCTGCGAAAGTCAACCATTCGTGCTTAAAATCCGTTCATTTTGGCCCCATCCCCACCCAGGACCAAAACCAAAAAACCAAAAACCAGGCACCGACTCTTATGTTTATTGATAATTTTACAACGACTGGGACGGTGACAAACCTGAGATCCAAGCAGGGCGAACTGGAGCCGGTCTGGACCAAAAGGAGCCGCTCTTCCTTCAGGGCAGACCTAAAGAGAGAGAGGGGGTGTGGGGGGGGGGGCAAAAGCTCAGCCCGTGGGAGAAACGTCCAGCGAAGTTGCCCAGCATCAGAGCAACCTTGCAAACAGAGTTGGCTTAGCAAAGATGGGAGGATCACGGTTAAGAGGCAAACAGGGAGACACACTTCAGCTGTGCGGTTTTCCCACAGCCAATTTTAGCAGAGCCCTTGAGGAAATGTATAAGTACATTTGCAAGTATAAAGCAAACGCTGCTTTATACTTGATCAAACCAAAGTTGCATATCTGGTTCTCCATATTTTGCTTTCTTTCATCTATATCTATATATTTCTATCTATCATCTATCTGTGGGTCTGTCATCTATCTATCTATCTATCTATCTATCTATCTATCTATCTATCTATCCATCCATCCATCCATCCATCCATCCATCCATCCATCCATCCATCCATCCATCCATCCATCTATCTGTCTATCCCTATCTACCTATCATCTATCACTTATCTCATCTATCTACATATCTTTCCTTTCCTGTGCCCAAAGCAAAACTTGGCTTCTTCCATGTCCACCAATCCTTACCGAATAACATCATCCATAGCCGCAATCTTCTCCACCACAAGTAAGGATTCGTTATACGTGACGTCATTCAGAGCGGGACCTGAATTGCAAGCCAAAATAACCTGGTATTGCAAAGGAGAGGGAGAGAGAGAGAGGGAGAGGGAGAGAAAGAGAGGAAGAGAGAGAGAGAGAGGGACGGAGAGGGAGAGGAAGCAAAGGACATTTTGGATCAGCACTCTATACGACATACAGGGATGTTTGATTCACTTTTAAATTGGAACTGAAATATATTCTGACACATTTGCACTCAGGTTTCCCTCGGGGACTTTGGAGCGAGGAACACCGACACCATTTTGGGGGACAAGCTAAATTCTCAGGCCAGTGAGAATTTCTTTGATCTTGGCTTGTGAGGCAAGAAGACCACCAAATACAACTGATACTACTGTTGGGGTGGGGGGAAGAGTTGGTTGGTCCAGAAATGAAAAAGGGGGTCTCATCTTCACTACTACTATCTGGAAAAAGTTGGCAAGACAGAGCTGGCACTCCAAGAAGAATTTATACAATCTAGAAACTGCCTTGCCTGTTGCTTTTTTTGGGGGGGACCAACTTGTTAACTCACTGGCAGATAATCAACATTTGGTTTATATCAATTGATAACTGAGGGCTTTAAGGGGTGCCTGTCTCTTCCTCCTGTGGCAGACCCCCATTTAAAGTTAGCAGAGCTCCCGTCACAGCTGCAGGAGAGGACAAAGTTGTGGGTTTTGTGTTGCCAGCTTCGAGGGTGGAAGAGACAGGGTTGATAAGGAAAAAAACCTCTTTCTCTTTCCAAGTCATGATTTTAACCGGCATCTTCCGTGGAACTAAGTTTATTTTTATTTGCTGCTAGCAAGTTGGTTAAAAACTCATTCAAGGTAAAACGTGCTATTTCCACTCATTGTTGTTTTTTTTAGGTGGGATTAAACAATATCATCTCCCCCCCCCCCNCCCCCCGGGCCTTCCACCTTAAGATGCCAGAATATTACTGACCTCCGTGCCCCTACAGAGCAATTCCCTAATAAAAGGGAAGACGCCTAAGATGATATCAATTCCACTGTTATCTGCAAAAATTAAGGCACATTTATGAGCTGGGGCCTGCGAAAGGAAAAAGAGACGCATCAGAGAACTCGGGAGGCCAGTCGGGCTCTTCACATTCGGCCACGGATCACCCGGTGGCCTCTTTTTCAAGTCAAGCTACGCTGCCCGGAGAAAGCCAAACTCTGGGGAGGCAGGACGAAGGGACCCAAAACCACCCCTTCAAAAAAAGAAAAGAAAAGGAAAAAAAAGAGAGGGTAATATTTCAGTCCCCTGGAATTTCTGGACTATTCTTGAATTTTTCAAGGAAACTCTACAAGGTCCCCTTTTTTGTCACGTGAGACGAGGGTGGGAATAAGTGGGAAGTCTTGACAATTAGACCAAACAGTTCCTTGGGGGGTGGGGTGGGGTGTCACCCTCTTCTTAAACAAGAGCCCCCCATTTTGATGCTCTGTCCCAATGTCCACTCATGGAGTGGGACAGCAGAGACAATGTGCAAAACACCTGTGGGCCAAGCCCAGTTCAACCTCGTTTCTCTAACAGAAACTAACTTGGTTCGGTCCGGAAAGTCAGTCTTTTAAGAGACAAGAGTCTTGTGGTGTGTTAAAAAAGTAGCCCAGTGTGTTTCTGAACCTCAGCAACTTTGAGAAGGGGGGGGGACTTCAACTCCCAGAATTCCCCAGCCAGCCATGAATTCTGGGAGTTGAAGACACCCCACCCCATCTCAAAGTTGCCAAGGTTCAGAAACACTGGGCTAGCCAATAGGTTTTCCGCTCCCGTTCAAAAGGATGGAACTTGAGAGATAATTTCCTATATTTCCTATATTCCTCCCCTTTCTCCCCCCTCCGCCCCAGCAGCCCCCCCAGCCCCCCCCAAAATGGCGGTGGAAGGACGGTCTGTGCGTACCTTGAGCCGTTCCACCCATTCGCTGTACGAATCCACGAGCCAAGGACGCTCTGGGTGTCAGGAAGGGGAAAAGGGGAAGAGAAAAAAAAAAAGAGAGAGAGAAAATTACACGATCAGTTGTCAGAAGAACTCAGAATTTGCCATTTCCTAGAGAAAAAAAACAGCACATTGAGAAGACCAGGACATCCAGCTAAAGAAAAGAGTAGATTTTAGAAAAGTAAAACATATACACTTTGCAGAACAGCGCAAAGGCTCGACCTGATTGGGACAGGGGTGCCCCTACTCTACCCTCTTAACTCCAGGGGTCCTCCACCTTGGCCACTTTAAGGCTTGTGGACTTCAACTCCCAGAATTCCTCAGCCAGCTTGCTGAGTGGCCACGGTTGAGGACCCCTGCTCGACTCAACGTCCAGAGATCAAGCAAGATTCTCCAGAGAGGCCTGGAGAAGCGACAACAGCACTGAAAAAAAAGCGACTTTTCGCGCTTACGGCCTTTTTTGCAGCATCCCCCCCTCTCCCCCAGGGTATGTGATCCAAATTCAGGCACCTGGCAACCTGCTTCGTATTTATGACGGCTGCAGCGTCCCCCGGGGGTGGGTGGGAGATCACGCGATCCCCTTTTGCAAGCTCCCAGCCAAATGGGGGCAAAACTCAACCGATCCAAACGACTCGCTGAGCGACGGAAATTCCTGCGGTCGCCAGCCGAGGACTACCTATCTTAAAAGGGGCTCTTGAGCTCACGTTTCCCCTCTCTCCCAGTTACCTTGCAATTTTTCCTTCGCTTCTCCGAATCCGAACTGGGGCTCCGTTTCCAGGACGCTGGCGGTGGGGGAAACGCCGGAGGAAGAGAGAGAAAAAAAGAGAGAAAGAAAGAGAAAGAGAGAGAGAGAGAGAAAGGACAGCAAACAGGTAAGGAAACCAGGCAGGGCAGCAACACATTTCCTGCTAGTGTTCTGTGGAAATTAAAAGAAGCCCATTGGGATTCCCTGGGTCCCTTTGCAGAGATCTCGCCAGAAAAGATCCCCAAGGGATCAGAATAAATGTAAGATTTCTGAAGGGCAAAACAGAGGCTCCATCCCATGCCAGCCTCTCTCCTCTGTGTGGCAGGGGTGGGGAAGGGCCCCTTTGAGGTTCAAAAGCAGGTATTTCCAACGTCAAGGGCTGGGTGCAGATGGTCCTCTACTTACAACACTGGTTTAGTGACCGTGTTACAACGGCACTGGCAAAAAAAGGGACCTAGGACCCTTTTTCACACCGGCAGCATCCCCATCGCCACAGGATCAAAATTCTGTTTAGGGGGGGGGGGGGGTTGGACTAGAACAGTGTTTCTCAACCTTGACCATTTTAAGGCATATGGACTTCAACTCCCAGAATTCCACAGCCAGCATTGCTGGCTGTGGAATTCTGGGAGTTGAAGTCCACATGCCTTAAAATGGTCAAGGTTGAGAAACACTGGACTAGAAGACCTCAAAGGTCTTCCAACTCTATTATTGTTATTGTTCTTGGCTCATATTGACGACGGTCGCGGTGTCCCCGGGGCCGTGTGATCCCCTTCTGATTTTCCTCCCCCCCCAGCCCACCCCCAAATCCCAAGACCTACTCCGAGACGGCTTTGGCCCCCCAGTCGAAGACGTTTCCAGCCAGGAGACCCTTCACCAGGGCAAACTGCCTCTCCTCCCAGCCGAGGGAATCCAGGGACTCGATCACCCCCTGGTAACACCGCAGGGCGATGCCGTTTTCTTTCTGCTTTATCTGCGAGAGAGAGAAGGGGGGGGAGAGAAACACAAGGCAAGCTCAGAGGGGAAGGGGGATTCCTGGCCCAGGCCCTGGCTGCTGGGATGGTCTTTCGAAACCTAGTTTAATCAGGATTTGGGGTGAGGGCTGGAGGTTCCAGGTCACTCGGAGGATCCAGGGTTATTGGGCTCCAGGTTGAGAGGAAATGTAAGAGGAGGGAGGAGAGTGCATGGACCCCGGGGACAGAGAGGTTAGAGCTTCCCACTTGCTCTGGCAGCGGGTGCCCAATGTTTTCTGCTCCTCCGTTCTTTTTTTATCTGCTGAGCTCCGGCGCATCAAATACATTGGATGCCCCTAGTAGTCCTGCTTTTCTATTCTGAGTGTCACGGAGGGAGTGCAGAGTGCACAATCTCCCCTCTGGATTCTGGAGAGTCTTCCCCAGTTGCAACTTGAGCTACGGGAGACAGAATAAATTCATTCCCCTTCCTTCCTTCCTTCCTTCCTTCCTTCCTTCCTTCCTTCCTTCCTTCCTTCCTTCTTCCCTCCCTCCCTCTCACCTTCCTTCCTTCTTTCCTTCCTTCCTTCCTTCCTCCCTCTCCTTCCTTCCTTCCTTCCTTCCTCCCTCACCTTCCTTCTTTCCTTCCTTCCTCCCTCTGCTTCCTTCCTTCCTTCCTCCCTCCCTCCCTCACCTTCCTTCTTTCCTTCCTTCCTCCCTCTGCTTCCTTCCTTCCTCCCTCACCTTCCTTCCTTCCTCCCTCTCCTTCCTTCCTTTCTCCCTCCCTCACCTTCCTTCTTTCCTTCCTTCCTCCCTCCCTCTCCTTCCTTCCTTCCATCCCTCCTTCCTTCCCTTCCTCCCTCTCCCCTTCCCTCCCTCCCCTTTCTTCTATCATTTCCCTCCCTCCCTCCTTCTTCTCTCCCTCTAGCCCTCCTGCCTCTTCTTCCATCTTCTTTCTCCTTTCCCCCGCTTTCCTATCTTTCTATCTTCCTCCCTGTCTTCCTTCCTTCTTTCCCCTTCTTTCTCTTTCTCCTTCCTTCCTTCCCCAAGGGGATGGGGTTGGGGAAGCAGCACTGGGTCACGGCTCAAAAGATACGGGATCGCACTCCAGGGCAGCGAGGAGGAGGAGGAGGAGAAGGAGGAGGAGGAGGAGGAGGAGGAGGAGGCCTTACCTTGGAGTAGGGATCAGGGAAGTTAAATTCGTTCAAACAGTGTTCCCTTGTATCCAATAAACTTCTAACGGTTAGGGTGCCGTATGCGCTGAGAAGGAAAAAAGGAGGAGAAAAGAGTCAGTTATACTCTGGGGTGGGGGGGGGGAAAGGGTCTTCTGCCTTTTAAACCCACCCCTGGCTAATTTATAGCCATTTTTGCTCCCTCCCTAGCTCTGGCCAGGATTTACATAGCAAGAAAGATGATTATCACAAACTTGAGGCCTTTTTCACTTTGGCTTCTCCCATTTTCTGGGATTCCCTGTTTATTTACACAACCGGCCTGCTTTTTCTCTACGGCACGTTCTTGCTTTAAATTAATGGAAGGCCAGCTAGGAAGAGTTTGCTTGTGGCTCCTGAACCAGCAGCTGGCAGAACACGTGAAGATGGAAAAGAACTAGGGAATTGCTAAATAGGATGATTCTCCCACACACACACACACACAAAAAAAGGCCCAGCCCCAACTCACAACGGCTGCTGTCGGAGTGTTTGGAGCTTGTCCCAGTACTTGTGTCGGAATTTCTCGGCTCGCTCGGCCGCGTCGACCGAATCGGGCTGGCTGGCTGCGGCTCGTTTGGCAACCTGGCCGGGGAACGAGAGAGAGAGAGAAGGAAAAACTTTTAATATAAGGGGCCGAATTGAGTGGGTGGTCTCCGAGGCCATCTGGAAGAGGGGGAGGCCAAATTTCTACAACCCCCCCCAAATCCCTGGAAAGGCTGCCCACAAAGGAACGAAATCTGATCTTTTCTGTGCAAAAGTGTTGAAGTCCTGGTCGAGTTTTCCACTAAACTTTATTTCTCCCTCGCATGAACCCCGGGTGATTTGGGCTACCCTCAGAATCATAGACCTGGAAGGGACCTTGGAGGTCTTCTAGTCCAGCCCTGCCTTGCCCAAGAAAGGAGGCTTTATTGCACTCCAGATCTTTTTCCTGAAGATCTCCACGGCTGGTTGGGGAACTCTGGGAATTGAAGTCCGCCCATCTTCAAGAGGCCGGGGTTGAGAAACACCTCTAGCCTGAATTTTGTGCTCTTAAACTAGGGGTCTTCAAACTTGGCCCTTTGATGACTTGTGGCTGAGGAATTCTGGGAACTGAAGTCCACAAGTCATCAAAGGGCCAAGTTTGAAGACCCCTGTCTTAAACGGATCAGAAAATGTAAGATATATTCCCCGATTCTCCTTCCAGCTGCCCTAAAACATGCAAGCTGGGGAACGGTCTAAGAAAGGAGATGGGAGCGTTAAAAGGGGTGCACTTCCTCATGACCCCATCCTCACCCCCACAACGGGTCCTTACCCCATCCAAGGCCTCCTCAAAGCACGAGAGCCAATACTGCCGGGCCAGGACGTCGTCGGTGAGATCCACGGTGTCTGCGACGTAAGTGGAGGGATCCTGCAGCAAGGGGAGATTCACCAGCATTCCCTCCAGACGGTCCATTTCCAACATGTCGAACTGGGTGGGGTGGGGTGGGGGTGGGAGAGAATGCAGTGTGAGCAGGATGGTCAAAGATAGATAGATAGATAGATAGATAGATAGATAGATAGATAGATAGATAGATAGATAGATAGATAGATAGATAGATAGATAGATAGATAGATAGATAGATAGATAGATAGATAGATAGATATAGATAGATAGATAGATAGATAGATAGATAGATAGATAGATAGATAGATAGATAGATAGATAGATAGATAGATAGATANCCTTCCTTCTTTCCTTCCTTCCTCCCTCTCCTTCCTTCCTTCCTCCCTCCCTCACCTTCCTTCTTTCCTTCTTTCCTCCCTCCCTCCTTCCTTCCTTCCATCCCTCCTTCCTTCCCTTCCTCCCTCTCCCCTTCCCTCCCTCCCCTTTCTTCTATCATTTCCCTCCCTCCCTCCTTTTTCTCTCCCTCTAGCCCTCCTGCCTCTTCTTCCATCTTCTTTCTCCTTTTTCCCCCTTTCCTATCTTTCTATCTTCCTCCCTGTCTTCCTTCCTTCCCCTTCTTTCTCTTTCTCCTTCCTTCCTTCCTTCCCCAAGGGGATGGGGTTGGGGAAGCAGCACTGGGTCACGGCTCAAAAGATACGGGACCGCACTCCAGGGCAGCGAGGAGGAGGAGGAGGAGGAGGAGGAGGAGGCGGCCTTACCTTGGAGTAGGGATCAGGGAAGTTAAATTCGTTCAAACAGTGTTCCCTTGTATCCAATAAACTTCTAACGGTTAGGGTGCCGTATGCGCTGAGAAGGAAAAAAGGAGGAGAAAAGAGTCAGTTATACTCTGGGGTGGGGAGGGAAAAGGGTCTTCTGCCTTTTAAACCCACCCCTGGCTAATTTATAGCCATTTTTGCTCCCTCCCTAGCTCTGGCCAGGATTTACATAGCAAGAAAGATGATTATCACAAACTTGAGGCCTTTTTCACTTTGGCTTCTCCATTTTCTGGGATTCCCTGTTTATTTACACAACCGGCCTGCTTTTTCTCTACGGCACGTTCTTGCATTAAATTAATGGAAGGCCAGCTAGGAAGAGTTGGCTTGTGGCTCCTGAACCAGCAGCTGGCAGAACACGTGAAGATGGAAAAGAACTAGGGAATTGCTAAATAGGATGATCCTCCCACACACACACACACACAAAAAGGCCCAGCCCCAACTCACAACGGCTGCTGTCGGAGTGTTTGGAGCTTGTCCCAGTACTTGTGTCGGAATTTCTCGGCTCGCTCGGCCGCGTCGACCGAATCGGGCTGGCTGGCTGCGGCTCGTTTGGCAACCTGGCCGGGGAACGAGAGAGAGAGAAGGAAAAACTTTTAATATAAGGGGCTGAATTGAGTGGGTGGTCTCCGAGGCCATCTGGAAGAGGGGGAGGCCAAATTTCTACAACCCCCCCCAAATCCCTGGAAAGGCTGCCCACAAAGGAACGAAATCTGATCTTCTCTGTGCAAAAGTGTTGAAGTCCTGGTCGAGTTTTCCACTAAACTTTATTTCTCCCTCGCATGAACCCTGGGTGATTTGGGCTACCCTTAGAATCATAGACCCGGAAGGGACCCTGAAGGTCTTCTAGTCCAGCCCTGCCTTGCCCAAAAAAGGAGGCTTTATTGCACTCCAGATCTTTTTCCTGAAGATCTCCACGGCTGGTTGGGGAACTCTGGGAATTGAAGTCCGCCCATCTTCAAGAGGCCGGGGTTGAGAAACACCTCTAGCCTGAATTTTGTGGTCTTAAACTAGGGGTCTTCAAACTTGGCCCTTTGATGACTTGTGGCTGAGGAATTCTGGGAGTTGAAGTCCACAAGTCACCAAAGGGCCAAGTTTGAAGACCCCTGTCTTAAACGGATCAGAAAATGTAGGATACATTCCCCGATTCTCCTTCCGGCTGCCCTAAAACATGCAAGCTGGGGAACGGTCTAAGAAAGGAGATGGGAGCGTTAAAAGGGGTGCACTTCCTCATGACCCCATCCTCAGCCCCACAACGGGTCCTTACCCCATCCAAGGCCTCCTCAAAGCACGAGAGCCAATACTGCCGGGCCAGGACGTCGTCGGTGAGATCCACGGTGTCTGCGACGTAAGTGGAGGGATCCTGCAGCAAGGGGAGATTCACCAGCATTCCCTCCAGACGGTCCATTTCCAACATGTCGAACTGGGTGGGGGTGGGAGAGAATGCAGTGTGAGCAGGATGGTCAAAGATAGATAGATAGATAGATAGATAGATAGATAGATAGATAGATAGATAGATAGATAGATAGATAGATAGATAGATAGATAGATAGATAGATAGATAGATAGATAGATGTAGATGATGATGGATGGATGGAGAGATGATGGATGGATGATAGATAGATAGATAGATAGATGATAGATAGATAGATAGATAGATAGATAGATAGATAGATAGATAGATAGATAGATGATGATTTTTTTTATTAATTTAATTTCTATACCGCCCTTCTCCCGCAGGACTCAGGGCGGTGCACAGCATATTAAAACAGATACACATATCAATAAAAATAAAAAATAAAAATAAAAACCCCTCTAAAACCAAATTAAAAACCAAATA